TGGTCATTTAGAGAGAATGGACCTAAGTAGAATGACATGGAGAGTGTAAAGGAGGTTTCGTGGGCGAGGGGCTTGGACTTTCAGCAAGTGTGCATGAGCGTGTTAGATAGGAGTGAATGGAGAAGAGTGGTTTCTGGGACCTGACGAGCTGTTGGAGTGTGAGTAGGCTAATGTTTAGTGAAGGGATTCAGGGAAACCAGTTATTTTTATATAGCCGGACTTGAGTTCTGGAAATGGGAAGTACAGTGCCTGCACTTTAACCCTTTCAGGGTCAACAGGCCCCCTCAGAGACTTGTTCTCAGGGTCAGCCAAATTTAAAAAAAAAAAAAAAAAGTTTCTTATGAAAAGATAGAGAATCTTTTCCTAATCCTAATGACACCAAAAATATGAAATTTGATGGAAAACTTACGGAATTATGCTCTTGGAAAGTTAGCGCTCTCGACGATGTTTACACATCGGCGATTTTTGCCCACTTTGAGCCCTATTTTCGGGTAATTCCAGTGTACTTGTCGACAAAAATCATAACTATTTTGCTAGAACTCCATTTTTTCTATCAAATGAGTACAAGAAACCACCCATTTACCGATTTCAACTATCCAATACAGTGGTTAGAATTTAGCAATTTTGCCAATTTCACACAAATTTCAAAAGATGCCAATTTCCGAATAAGGTCCAGAATAAACAAGAAAGACATTCCTGGCACTAAAATAACATTTCCTCTGTTCATTAGTCACGTCCCCATGCCCCTCTTACATTCTTTTGCTTTCCATTTTGAATTTTTATTCTCACAAAAAATAGAAGATTTACTGTTATGCAGACTACTGCTAGTATTAGTGTACAAATGGTATAAATAATATCGGCGCACTTGTGAATGAACATTAGACTCACCAGTTGATGTGTATTGGACGCATAGCATGATTTTACTTTTGAACTTTGGTAAAAATCGAACATTTCTGCTACTTTGAGTGCAATTTCAAGGTAGTTTTCTTTGTAAAACCAGTCAAAATCATCTCAATTTCTGTAATATGTCTTCCATTCTATAAAATGAGACCAGGAAAACTAGAATACAACAATAAATACCATACGAAAATACAGTGCAAAGTCGCTGTTTTAACCCTTTGACTGTCGCGGCCGTATATATACGTCTTACGAGGTACCATGTTCGACGTATATATACTCATAAATTCTAGCGGCTTCAAATCAAGCAGGAGAAAGCTGGTAGGCCCACATGTGAGAGAATGGGTCTGTGTGGTCAGTGTGCATCATATAAAAAAAAATCCTGGAGCACGCAGTGCATAATGAGGAAAAAAAAAACTCCGACCGTTTTTTTAAATTAAAATGCCGACTTTGTGGTCTATTTTCGTATAGTATTTATGGTTGTATTCTCGTTTTCTTGGTCTCATTTGATAGAATGGAAAATATATTATAGAAATAGAGGTGATTTTGATTGATTTTACTATAAAAAGAACCTGGAAATGGAGCACAAAATACGGGAAATGTTTGATTTTTGCCGATGTTCAAAAGTAAACAAATGATGTCATTGTCCAATAAATGTCCAAATAGCCATTCTAATATGCGGTCATGAATGGGTTGATGTAATTTTTACAATTATTACAATATTGCAGTAGTCTGCATAACAGTAAATCTTCTATTTTTTGTTTGAATAAAATTTCAAAATAAAAAGCAGGAGTAATATCAGAGGGGCCTGGAGACATGACTGATGAACAAAGAAAATGTTATTTTAGAGCCAGGAATGTCTGCATTGTTCATTCTGGTCCTTATTTTGAAATTGTCATATTTTTTATTTTTCGTGAAATTGGCCAAATTGCAAATTTCTGACCATGTTATTGGGTAGTTGAAATCGGTAAATGGGCAGTTTCTTGTACTCAATCGATAGAAAAAATGGAGTTCTGAAGAAATAGCTATGAGTTTGGTTGATTGGAATAATGGAATTAGCCGAAAATAGGGCTCAAAGTGGGCGAAATCGCCGATTTGTAAATATCGCCGAGGTCGCTAACTTCGCGAGAGCGTAATTCAGTCAGTTTTCTATCAAATTTCGTTTTTGGTGTCTTTGCAATCGGGAAAAGATTCTCTATCATTTAATAAGAAATTTTTTTGTTTTTAAATTTTGCAACACCAGGAGACACCTCAGGATTGGGGTTTCGACAGTCAAGGGGTTAATCCAAAAACACGGTCAAAGTTTTTTTTTCTTATTACGCAGTGTGTGCTGCAGGATTTTTTTTTTATACCACGCACACTGACCACATAGACCCATTCTTTCATATGTAGGCCTACCAGCTTTCTCTCATTAGATTTGAGGGCGCTAGAATTTAGGCGTACTAGTACGTCAAAAGCCCTGGTGCGCAAGCCGTACTAGTACGTACGGCTGAAACCCTGAAAGGGTTAAAGGAGGGGTTTGGGATAATGCAAGTTTGGAGGGATGTGTAATAGGATGCTATATATATAATTGGGGCTTTGATATTTTAATTATTTCAGGTCACTTTTTATAGTGTATCTTTATATATGCTTCTAAACTGTTGTATCTGGGTGCCTGTGCAAAAACAGTGGTTATGTATGAGTGAGGTGAAAGTGTTGAATGATGATGAAAGTATTTTTATTTTGGGGGTTTTCTTTCTTTTTGCGTCGCCCTGCCTAGGTGGGAGACGGCCAACTTGAGAAAAAAAAAAAACATTATTTCTCCATGGGGAAGTGGAATAGAATTATTCTTCCGTAAGCCATACATGTCGTAAGAGGCAACTAAAATGTCAGGGGCAAGGGGCTAGTAACCCCTTCTCCTGTATATATTACTAAATATAAAAGGAGAAGCTTTCTTTTTCTTTTTGGGCCACCATGCTTTGGTGGGATATGACTGGTTTGTTGAAAGAAGAAAGATATTTATTATTGACAATCAAATATACATGGGGCAAGTAATTCGAATATCACTAAATGATTGTAAACTAGAAGCATATAAATTTATTTGGATTATTAACCTGGAGAGTTAATAACCCAAAAAAGCAAAACAGTGCCACTTATTTCCTACAATGAGTGTTGTTTGGCTAACTTTTAATTATTCTGTGAAATAGCACATTTGTTTACCGCATTTCATGGCTTATAAGACTTAGTTTCAATGGCTCGGCATCAGACATAACTGGGAGAACTACAGCGCACCTCACACCCCAAACATATAGCCCTTGTCACTGACCTTCACTTTATAGGACACAGGGTGATTTTGTGGAGACATTTTATGGTGAGGCATTTTAAGCCGTGAAATATGGTAAGTGTCCTAAAAAAAGTTGTATTTTAAAATTCTTCTACACTTTCTTCCTTCTCTAACTTTTCTTTTTAAATGTCTTATGACTAAATAAATTTTCATTTTGAAAATTGTAAAAGAAAAATGGAGGTGTGCTCATAAGACTAAGTACAAATTCAAAATAAAGGGATGTGTATATTCACTCCTACTTCCACACACAAATGAATATGTCAACAAACAAACAAAAATTGTCGTATGAACAATGTTACTAAAATTTGCAAAGAGGGTTTTATGCAGAGTGAAACTCAGTTTGGGTATGTAGGAAGGAAGGGCACTATTGCACATTAACCCTTTGACTGTCGCAACCCCAAATCCTGAAGTGTCTCCTGGTGTCGAAGAATAAAATGGCACCCCAATTTACCTACTACTCCCTCCACAACATTTTTACCCCCTTTAGCACTGAAATCCCCAACCACAAGTACTCTCACACTTGGTCCAAAACTCCCCACGCATTTCCCAAAATCTCTCTTTCTCTACACTTCTCTCTTCTCCAGATGCATATACGCTTACTATAACCCACTTTTCACATCCAACCTTTATTTTATTCCACACAATCCTTGAATTAATACATTTATAGTCCCTCTTTTCCTGCCATATCTTATCCTTCAACATCATTGCTACTCCTTCTTTAGCTCTAACTATTAGAAACCCCTGACCTAATCCCATTTATTCCTCTCCATTGAAACTCTCCCACACCCTTCAGCTTTATTTCACTTAAAGCCAGGACATCCAGCTTCTTCTCATTCATAACATCCACAATCATCTCTTTCTTAAAATTTGCACAACATCCACGCACATTCAGACTTCCCACTTTGACAATTTTCTTCTTATTCTTTTTAGTAATCTTTACAGGGAAAGGGGTTACTAGCCCATTGTTCCCGGCATTTTAGTCGACTTTTACAACACGCATGGCTTACGGAGGAAAGATTCTCATTCCACTTCCCCATGGATATACAGTAAAAGGAAAAGTAATAAGATGTGTACATGTATGTGTAGTGTGACCTAAGTAGAAGTAGCAAGACATACCTGTAATCTTGCATATTTATGAGACAGACAAAAGACACCAGCAATCCTACCATCATGTAAAACAATTACAGGCTTTCGTTTTACACTCACTTGGCAGGACGGTAGTACCTCCCTGGGTGGTTGCTGTATACCAAGTTAGTCTAACTCGAGTCCTAGATGTTGCAATTCAGAGAGTTATTTAAGCTGTTGTATTCTGAGCACCTCTGCAAAAGCAGTGATAATGTGTGAGTGTGGTGAAAGTGTTGAATGATGATGAAAGTATTTTCTTTTTGGGGATTTTCTTTCTTTTTTGGGTCACCCTGCCTCGGTGGGAGACGACCAACTTGTTGAAAAAAAAAAAAGTATTTTCTTTTTGGGGATTTTCTTTCTTTTTTGGGTCACCCTGCCTCGGTGGGAGACGACCGACTTGTTGAAAAAAAAAAAAAAAAAAAAAAATTGAATTTAAGTGTTTGTGCACTTCTGGCAAGACAACTATTGAATAAGCAATGTTGAATGTGTTTTCTTTTTCTGTGGTCACCCTACCTTGAAGGGAGAGGGACACTGTGTTGAAAAATTGTGAATTAGAGTAATTTATTCCCAAATGGTTTATTTCATAATAAATTTCAAAAAGTTCTCATCTACTCAGTGAATACTCGTAAAAAATAAAAATATAACCCTTACTTACAAACAGCATCAGCATTTTCCTCATTGTTAAGAGATTCAAATATGCTTTCAGCAGCAAGCATAGCACTCTTCATTGCAGTGTGTGTTCCTTTGATCTTTGGAACAACCATAAACCCTGGTGAACACCCTATTAAACATCCACCAGGGAATGAAAGTTTGGGAATACACTGTAATCCCCCTTCATTCAAGGCTCGGGCACCATACGAAATCCTGAAAGATGATGCACTTGTTCACAGAGTGAGGCAGTGTTCCTAAACATGACATTTTTTTCATCTTTACAATATAGGTACTATATACCTTAATAAAATTTTGTTTTAACATTAATCTGTTTAGACAATCTAATAACATATAAACAAATCTGAAAAAATGTTAACTTAAAAACATCAAGTGCAAATAAACTATTTTTTGGATTGAGAGTATACCCCTTAGTTTTAGGCTGAAGCCAACTGGGACCCATTTATAATATGTTGTACTCTTTCACACAAAAATATAGTACAAGTACTCACCTCTCTTGACCCCAGTAGGCTGTATCTCTCACTTTTTCACTCATTTTAGGACCCTTTCACTTCTGCTTGCACATCATTCCTGAATTATTCTAACAAGTCAGCTGATACTCTTGCTGCTATTTGAAGCTCTAGCCATCAACTTCATACACTAATGTCAACACCATTTTCTGCTCTCTAATTGTTGGATACTTCTGCAATCAACTCCCATTAAGATTTGTAGTTCTTTCTGCTCTGCTTGTATTACTGCTTGGAAAGGTAATTCACTTTTGGTCTCATGTGTGCTGTCAGGCTTGTCCTGGCTGTTTCCTGTCAGAACAGACTGGCCATTCATATATGTGAATTCTTATGAGTATCTGGTGTTATCTTCTGTTCTTCATAGGCCTGAAACAAACTTCTCTTGTTAGTTAGCCCAGATATGTCAAAAGGGTGCAGATCTATGCTCCCTTGACTCCTAATGGTTATCCCTCAAGCACTTTTCATCTTCTAAACAGGCTCTGGTGGGCTAATGGGATCCATTTGCCCTCAGTTAGTTACAGAATTATGTGCTGGGCTTTTATGTTTCATCAAGCATTGAACAGGCAATTGCAGCTCCAGCAGTTGGCAAAACTGCCTTCTCTGGGATTGCAAGCAACTTTTTGCCTCCTATGGGATTTCTGGATCTCAATTCTGATGACCCTTGCCTCTGTCTTTTGTCTCCTGAATCAACTGGGGTGCCTCTATATTGGGCTCATTCTAGGGCATTTCTGTCTTAGTTATTCTTCTGATGGGGCCTCCATTTGTTGTCATATCAGACTTTTTTCCAAGCTGTTCATTCAATGGCTTCATCTGCATGCCTATCGCATGTTGTTCCGAGCCCTATTCAGGATGGCATGTTGATGCGAGTGTCTGCCACCATTCTATTAACCCTTTCAGGGTCAGAACCTGATCTGAAACTTGCTCTTGGGGTCGAAGAATTTAAAAAGAAAAAATTCTTATGATGAAATCAAAAGTATGAAATTTGATGGAAAACTTGCGGCATAGTTTATGCATTGGTGATTTCGCCCATCTGAGTTCTATTTTCAGCCAATTTCATTGTTCCAGTCAACTAAACTCATAGCTATTTTGCTAGTATTCCTTCTATTCTATCAACTGACTGAAAGAAACCACCCATTTACCTATTTCAAATACCTAATGAAGTGATCAGAATTCGATAATTTGGCCAATTTCGCACAAAATTCAAGAACTGCCAATTTCAAAACAGGGTCCAGAATAAACAATGTAGACATTCCTGGCACTATAACATTTCCTCTGTTCATTAGTCATGGCCTCAGGCCTCTCCTGGATTGCACTTGCTTTCCAATTTAAATTTTTATTTGCACAAAAAAGATGATTTACTGTTATGCAGACTACTGCATTATTGTAATAATTGTATAAATAATGTCAGCACATTTGTGGACACAGACCAATCAGATGAACGCATACTGGACAAGTGATGTAATTTGATTACTCTGGAATATCGGTAAAAATTAAACATTTCCACTACCTTAAGCTCAATTTCAAGCTAATTTCAGTACTGAAACAATCAAATTCATCCCTATTTCTGTAAAGTATCTTCCATTCTATCAAATGAGACCAAGAAATCGAGAATAAACTATGAACATCTCATGAAAATACACTGCAGAGTCGCTGTTTTAAGCCAAAAACACTGTCACAGTTTTCTCCCCCCCCCCCATCATGCATTGCTTGCTGCAGGATTTTTTTTATGTGGTGCACACTTATCACACAGGCCCATTTTCTTATATCTAGCCCCAAAATTACTGCTCACAGCTTATGAGTGAGCTTAGCTCATGATGCAGAACAACGGGACTGACCTGCACATCAAAGCCGCTGAACAATGGGACCCACCCCAAAAGGGTTAATAAGCAACTATAACACTTCTTAATCCTAAGGGATAAAGATATTAGCTTTATAAAATAATTGTCTAAATAAATGGATGACAAATACTGAATCTCTAAGAAGGAATGAATTCAGCTGTAAATTCCAATCTGAAAGATGAAATGTTTAAGCAATACTTAAGAAATTACAAAGCAGACATAGTACTAACCTTGTCCCACCCCGCAGTACAGGCTCAACAGATGGGTGATGTTTGAATTTTTGAAACTCCTTGAATGGATGTAAATATGGGTTTGTATAATCCAACCCAATAACAAAGCCAAGAGCAATTAATGGTTGCTCTTCATTTAAGTGATACAAGAATGAGCCTCCGTAAGTATTCCTGAAAATTTCAAATACTCAAAAAGTGTTCCAACTAAAAACAAAATATAGTTATAGGTAATAAAGTAACTGAATCAATCATGAATATAAAAATCTACTTTGCAAAGCAACTTTTTGAAAATATACATTCCTTTTAACCCGTAAACGGTCCAAACGTATATATACGTTTTTTCAACATTTGAAAGTATGTAAAAAAAGTAGATCTTTTTGTTTTTTTACATTTGAAAATGTGTAAAAAAATTTTGATCTACTTTTTTTTTTTTTGTTATATTTGAAAATATGTAAAAAACGTAGATCTACTTTTGTAGCACTACACATGTGAACGTAGATCTGCTTGACTCATGAAATCGTAATGACACGATTGCAAACAAACCATACCCCGGCCAGGATTGAACCCGCGGTCAGAGAGTCTCAAAACTCCAGACCGTCGCGTTAGCCACTAGACCAGCTAGCCACAATAAGATTCGTCCAACTAGGTATATTTCTACACCATAGGAAGGTTAGCATAGGCACCACTGTGACCACAAATGCAAGCTTTTACAGACGAATCTCCAGCTAGCACTGGTGCCTATGCTAACCTTCCTATGGTGTAGAAATATACCTAGTTAGACAAATCTTATTGTGGCTAGCTGGTCTAGTGGCTAACGCGACGGTCTGGAGTTTTGAGACTCTCTGACCGCGGGTTCAATCCTGGCCGGGGTATGGTTTGTTTGCAATCGTGTCATTATGATTTCGTGAGTCATGTTGACGGCAGTGAGGGGACTTGAGCTAGAGTTCATCACGGCCACGCTAGCTGGAGATTCATCTGTAAAAACTTGCATTTGTGGTCACAGTGGTGCCTATGCTAACCTTCCTATGGTGTAGAAATATACCTAGTTGGACGAATCTTATTGTGGCTGGCTGATCTACTGGCTAACACGACGGTCTGGAGTTTTGAGACTCTCTGACCGCGGGTTCAATCCCGGCCGGGGTATGGTTTGTCTGCAATTGTGTCATTACGATTTCGTGAGTCATGTTGACGGCAGTGAGGGGACTTGAGCTAGAGTTCGTCACGGCCACGCTAGCTGGAGATTCGTCTGTAAAAACTTGCATTTGTGGTCACAGTGGTGCCTATGCTAACCTTCCTATGGTGTAGAAATATACCTAATTGGACAAATCTTATTGTGGCTAGCTAGTCTAGTGGCTAACGCGACGGTCTGGAGTTTTGAGACTCTCTGACCGCAGGTTCAATCCCGGCCGGGGTATGGTAGATCTGCTTGGACCGTTTACGGGTTAATAATTCTGATTTTTTTTTTTTTAACTCAACAACCATCCCTAGCCAAGGTAGTGATCCAAAGACAACACATTCACTATCATTCATTCAACTGATGTCTTTCCAGATCACACATTCTACAAATAGACAAATGCATAATGACAATTTAAAGATATTCATAATTTATTTTACAATATACTGTACACTGGATATAGTGCATTTATTGTTTTCCATCTGATAAGAGGCTGATCCACTTTTTACAACTAGATCTTGTGTATAGCAGTTTTTCCTATCTAATTACATGACTCAAAGTATATTACCACCAATAATTAGTTTTCTGTGTCAATACAAGGAATTCAAGTCAGTACACTAAGAAGAGAAAAACTATTAGACATACTTGTCAAGTGGCCATCCAACAGTGTGTTCAATTGTTCCTGGCTTGTGGTTTTCAGGTTTCACTTCCCATAATTCTTTAAGCCCAATTCCATACGATTGAGACTCACAGTTTTCACGTAGCTTGAATTTAGAATACAGTTGCTTGGCCAGGTGGCCATGACAACCCTCAGCAAATACTGTACATTTTCCCCGCAGCTCCATTCCTCGAGCAAAGGAATCCTGGTTTATTAAAGTTTTAAAAAACATATTCTGAGTGATAAATGTAACAATAACAACATGCAGATCTAAACTGTAACTGATGATGTATTTCCTTGAATAGGTGATTATAATCACTGGTACAATCTTCCAGTAACTATTCAAATACTGTACCTTCAAGACTCCTGAAGGATCATAGGAGACATCTGTTTAAGAATTCTTCAAGCATGTTTAGCTATACACCTACCATCCGACTTACCGAGTTCGGTTCCGAGAAACCGGTCATAAGTCGAAATGGTCGCAAGTTGAACTTTACTACTGAATATCAACAAAACATTTTTGTAATGACTATTTTATTGTTTTATTTTGGTATTTCATGTTTTACTTTACTTTTTATGTTGTTAGTACTATATTTTATACTGTAAGGTTTAGGATAAACACTGTGTACAACACAAACAGTTGTTTATTTCCCAGAAATTTGGCATAAAAAAACATGGTCGTAAGTCGAGTGGTCGTAAGTTGAGCAGGTCGTAAGTCGGATGGTAGGTGTATTAAAAGTGAAGAAGGTGCCTCCAAACAGTATTTGAAAATAAGGTCACAGAGGTACAAAAGGGAAGGACACCCAAATCTCTCACCCATTATTCTTAGGCCATACCCACACTGCTTTTGAAGTTTATGATCTACATATTCTCTACTTCTACCATTAACTTTCATATTAATAGTGTTTCAATTACAGTAGAGCCCCACTTATATGGCGGGTTAGGTTCCAGGCTATCGCTGGAGAGCAGAACGTCATTTTTTCCATTTATAAATGCACATAAATGCCATACAACAAGTTTACGCTAAATTATATTAACCCTTTCAGGGTCGCCAGGCCCTCTCCGAGACTTGTTCTCAGGGTCGCCCAAATTTAAAAAAAAAAAATTCTTATGAAAAGATAAAGAATCTGTTCCCGATCATAATGACACCAAAAGTATGAAATTTGATGGAAAACTTATGTAATTATGCTCTCGCATAGTTAGCGATCTCGACAATGTTTACGTATCGGCGATTTTGCCCACTTTGAGCTCTATTTTCGGCCAATTCCAGTGTACTATTTGACAAAAATCATAACTATTTCTCTAGAACTCCATTTTTTCTATTGAATGAGTGCAAGAAACCACCCATTTACCGATTTCAACTATCCAATAAAGTGGTCAGAATTTAGCAACTTTAGCCAATTTCACACAAACTTCAAAAGATGCCACTTTCTGAATAGGGTCCAGAATAAACAAGAAAGACATTCCCAGCACTAAAATAACAAGTTCTCTGTTCGTTAGTCACGTCCCCAGGCCCCTCTTATATTTCTTTGGCTTTCCACTTTGAATTTTTATTCTTACAAAAAAAATAAGATTTACTGTTATGCAGACTACTGCATTAGTGTAGAAATGGTATAAATAATATCAGCGCACTTGTGAAAGAATATTAGACTCACCAGTTGATGTGTATTGGACGCTTGACATGATTTGTTTATTTTTGAACTTTGGTAAAAATCGAACATTTCTGCTACTTTGAGCTTAATTTCAAGGTACTTTTCATTGTGAAACCAGTCAAAATCATCTCAATTTCTGTAATATGTCTTCCATTCTATAAAATGAGACTAGAATACAACTATAAATACCATACGAAAATGCAGTGCAAAGTCACTGTTTTAATCCAAAAACATGGTCAAAGTTTTTTTTTTTTCTCATTACGCACTGTATGCTGCAGGATTTTTTTTTTATACTGCACACATTGACCACATAGACCCATTCTTTCATACATAGGCCTACCAGCTTTCTCTCACTAGATTTGAGGGTGCTAGAATTTAGGCGTACTAGTACATCAAAAACCCTGGGGCATATGCCGTACTAGTACGGCTGAAACCCTGAAAGGGTTAAGTTAGTAATATAACTAGGCATTAAAAACACAAAAAGTAAAATACATACATAGTACATTCATTACTTATCTTAAAGTATTTGTAATCTTAATGTAGGGTGAGAGGTGAGTAGTACTTATTTGTAGGTAGTCAGGTGTAGGTAGCCCTGGCTCCCCGTCTCATACTTATCCACTTCGGGGTTTCCTACGTACTAGTACGGCTTATGCACCAGGGTTATTGACGTACTAGTACGCCTAAATTCTAGTGCCTTCAAATCTAGCAAGAGAAAGCTGGTAGGCCTACATATGAAAGAATGGGTCTATGTGGTCAGTGTGCGCAGTATAGAAAAAAATCCTGCAGCACACAGTGCGTAATGAGAAAAAAAAAAAACTGACCGTGTTTTTGGTTTAAAACAGCGACTTTGCACTGTATTTTCATATGGTATTTATGGAGTGTGTGTAAAGGTAGAAAGTTGAAACTGAACATAGAAAAGAGTAAGGTGATGAGGGTTTCAAATGATTTAGATAAAGAAAAATTGGATATCAAATTGAGGAGGAGGAGTATGGAAGAAGTGAATGTTTTCAGATATTTGGGAGTTGACGTGTCAGCGGATGGATTTATGAAGGATGAGGTTAATCATAGAATTGATGAGGGAAAAAAGGCAAGTGGTGCGTTGAGGTATATGTGGAGACAAAAAACGTTATCTATGGAGGCAAAGAAGGGAATGTATGAAAGTATAGTAGTACCAACACTCTTATATGGGTGTGAAGCTTGGGTTGTGAATGCAGCAGCGAGGAGGCGGTTGGAGGCAGTGGAGATGTCCTGTCTAAGGGCAATGTGTGGTGTAAATATTATGCAGAAAATTTGGAGTGTGGAAATTAGGAGAAGGTGCGAAGTTAATAAAAGTATTAGTCAGAGGGCTGAAGAGGGGTTGTTGAGGTGGTTTGGTCATTTAGAGAGAATGGATCAAAGTAGAATGACATAGAGAGCATATAAATCTGTAGGGGAAGGAAGGCGGGGTAGGGGTCGTCCTCAAAAAAGGTTGGAGGGAGGGGGTAAAGGAGATTTTGTGGGCGAGGGGCTTGGACTTCCAGCAAGCATGCGTGAACATGTTAGATAGGAGTGAATGGAGACGAATGGTATTTGGGATCTGATGATCTGTTGAAGTGTGACCAGGGTAATATTTAGTGAAGGGATTCAGGGAAACCGGTTATTTTCATACAGCCGGACTTGAGTCCTGGAAATGGGAAGTACAATGCCTGCACTCTAAAGGAGGGGTTCGGGATATTAGCAGTTTGGAGGGATATGTTGTGTATCTTTATAGGTACATGCTTCTAAACTGTTGTGTTCTGAGCACCTCTGCAAAAACAGTGATTATGTGTGAGTGAGGTGAAAGTGTTCAATGATGATGAAAGTATTTTCTTTTTGGGGACTTCCTTTCGTTTTTGGGTCACCCTGCCTTGGTGGGAGACGGCCGACTTGTTAACCCCTTCAGGGTCCAAGGCCCAAATCTGAAGTGGTGCCCCAGTGTCCAAGAATTTTCAAAAAAAAAATTTGTTATTTTTTCTTATGAAATGGTAGAGAATCTTTTTGTGAAGGTAATAAAACAAAAAGTACGAAATTTGATGGAAAATTGACGAAATTATGCTTTCGCGAATTTTGAAGTGTCAGCGATATTTACAAATCAGCGATTTTGCCGACTTTGACTCCCATTTTAGGCCAATTACATTATTCCAGTCAACCAAATTCTTAGCTATTTCACTGGTATTACTTCTATTCTATCGATTGAGCACAAGAAATCGCCAAGTCAACTGATTCAACTACAAATTAAAGTGATCGGAAATTGTTAATTTGGCCAATTTAACACAAAGTTCAAAATATTCCAATTTCAAAATAGGGTCCAGAATAAACAATGTAGGTATTCCTGGCACTAAAGTAACATTTCCTCTGTTCATTAGTTACGTTTTGAGGCTTTACAAATAAATTCCATTTTCATTTTTTATTCACATAATGAATTTTTATTCACACCAAAAAATAGAAGATTTACTGTTATGCAATACTGTAATAATTGTATAAATATCATCACCATATTTGTGAATGCATATTAGACCCACCAGCTGGCGTGTATTAGACGTGTGAGGTCGTTTGTTTACTCTTGAATATCGGCAAAAATTTAACATTTCTGCTAATTTGAGCTCAGTTTCAAGCCATTTCCAGTGCTAAAACCAATCAAAATCATCTCTATTTCTGTAATATGTCTTCCATTCTATCAAATGAGACCAAGAAATCGCAAATAGAACTATAAAAACATACGAAAAAACACTGCAAAGTCGCTGTTTTAATCGAAAAATCATGATTTCAGTTTTTTCTCTCATTATACACAACGCGCTGCAGGATCTGTTTTATGTGGTGCACACATACCATATAGATGTATTCTCTCATATCTAGGCCCAAATGTACCACTCACAGTTTATCAGAGTGAGCTGAGCTCATAACGTAGATCTACGGTTTGGACCCTGAACGTAAAGCCGTAGATCTACGGGATGGACCCTAAAAGGGTTAAAAAAAAAAAAAAAAAATTATGGCTGTATTCTATTTTAACATTTCATAGAATGGAAGACATATTACAGAAATTGAGATGATTTTGATTGGTTTCACAATGAAAAGTACCTTGAAATTGAGCTCAGAGTAACAGAAATGTTCGATTTTTGCCAAAGTTCAAAAGTAAACAAATCATGCGACGTGTCCAATATACGTCAACTGGTGAGTCTAATATTCTTTCACAAGTGCGGTGATATTATTTGTACCATTTCTACACTAATGCAGTAGTCTGTATAACAGTAAATCTTCTATTTTTTTGTGAGAACAAAAATTCAAAGTGGAAAGCAAGTGAAATGTAAGAGGGGCTTGGGGACATGACTAATGAACAGAGGAAATGTTATTTTAGTGCCAGGAATATCTGTCTTGTTTATTCTGGACCCTATTTGGAAATTGGCATCTTTTGAAATGTGTGAAATTGGCAAAATTGCTAATTTCTGACTACTCTATTGGATAGTTGAAATCGGTAAATGGGTGGTTTCTTGTGCCAGGAATATCTGTCTTGTTTATTCTGGACCCTATTTGGAAA